GAAAAGAATTTTAATGCTGACATCGCACTCGTGTCTTTGAATAGACAAAAGAAAGAATATTAATTCTGCTGCATTAAATAGACAAAAAAATTATTTGAATAAATTAGTTTGATTCAGTCTGCACTGGCCAAAAAATTTTATTTTTACAATCAGTTTGTTTTCAGTTACATTTTGTTTGGTTCTTCAGAATTATCAGCTGCACAAATGGGCAGCTAAAGCGGGTTAAAAAGAAAATGAAAGTGAATGCTTCACCTGCGTTCCATGAGGCAGCGCTTCGACGTTTCCTGTTCCTAAATTGGAAGACTTTAATAAGCCTCTTTCAAATTCTCTAAGAATGTTATTCTCGCATACTGTTGAACCATATATAGCTGAGCCATCAATGAATGCGGTGATCTGCAGTTTAAATGACAAAAAGTTTACTTCTAAAAAATTAGATTTTAGACATATATTCTCTATGAACATTAATAGGCGCAGTTGTTTTAATAAAAAGGAGTGCATGCGACTTCATGGACCTAAATATTCCTTTCTAGTGATACATTCAATCCTTCTTTATAAAAAGTCAACCTATATTAGTTCTCAATATAAATTTCTATTCGTATTCACATTCTCAGTCCAAAAAAAAGTTATGTGCAGTTGCTGCCTCCGGAAAAATAACCTTTGCGAGGAGAAAAGCTTTTGAAGATACTTCTTCTACCGCACTATCGCGTGACAAAGTTGAAATGAATTGGAGACTGACTGACAACCTGATTTATCTGGCCTCTGTAGCCAAGTGTAAGCTGCCCCAACAGTGATCTCACAAACGGCAGGCAACGTCGTTCTCCGTTTGGATAATGTGTTGGAAAAAACGGATCACCATCAGGCACTTCTATTGGAGCACAATGAACTGATATAGTTTCGTGCGAATCACAAGGAGTGCAGTTCAGGATTTCGCCATTTGGACCTAAAAACATAGTATTGCATATGCCTAAACTATAACTGAATTACAGAGTGAACCGTCCTAACAATGAATTATCTCCGAGCAATTACAGCACAAAATCCCAACTTATATAAAATACCAGGGTCGACCAGTCTGTGTGAGGATCCTATGCCAGTGATGTAACTGGACAGTCCCCACATCTCCAGGTCCTTTCATCCTAACTGTATGCTCAGTTTGGGTCCATCCCAACACCAACAGTGATATCAGTTTCTGACGAAGGATGTCCAAAATGCTCTTGGAAATTTTGATATCAGTGTATTCCAGATTTAAGCAAACTGCAGCCTACAGGTTGACTCTAACAGTGCAAATGGCGAAGGTGCAAAAGAACTAGGAAAAATTAGCAATAAATGAAAACACCTCTTGCAACAGGTGAATGTGTTACTTCGTGATCAATGAACTGGCCGAATTGCATTAGCATGTGAGAAAATCTTGTATGAGTGATATTTCTACTGTGATGCACAGCACTGGAGATGACACGTGCCGACGGCAGTAGTTTTCCGGATTTGGCATGGATTCGCGCATTGTCAAATCCTCAAAATGATTGATTTGGGCGCAAAAAACAAATAATGGTATTTTTTTGCGTGGCTATTTCACTTCATTCATGTTACTGGAGATGCACATACATCGTATATAGCTATGCCAGATCTTTCGGTCCTGGGCTTTATGCACCGCCTGTTCGATGTAGGTGCGCCATCTCTTTAAATGTCGCACAACCGATCGTTACTTTCTCTCGAGTTAAAATGTCATAACACTCTCTGTTTTTCCATCTTAATGGGAGGCGGAGGCAGTTGTGAGGAACAACGTAGGCTGGAACGCACCAGGCGAGCCGGAGCGATCATGCGTTTTTGCACAAAACTTGAA